GTACCGAATATTATATATATATATATATATATATATATATATATATATATATATATATATATATATAATTGCCTCCAGCACTCAACATGTTAAACATTCTTAATTTAAACGTTGCAAATAGCATGATGTCCAATATAATACTTAAATGATGACAGAAAATATTTGGGTGTTATATGTGTAGAATGTTTAATTTATCAAAGCGCAAGACCAAGGATAATATTTTTACGAATTTATAACTTGCACGTATGTTCAGACAATTGAGATATTTTATCAATAACTGTGTTACGTGTTAAGTTTCTGTTCCAAGTGTCTGGTACGGACGTGTACGTACAATATTTGAGTCGCGTATCATCAGGATGCTCCGAGAGACGCGGTCGATCCCACTCTTTTAATGAGACCGATTCAGTTCTCAACGATCGAAGGATAAACAATGCGATTAAAATATCGAGACTTATCATTGTGGTTATCCCCACGTGTATTGCGACTACTTTTCATACGCGCAAGCGCGCGTGTGTACGGGCATTAATTGTGTTTTTTGTATGTATGTATCTCTGTCACGTGCACGGACGTATACATATGATGTAATAAGTGTCTGCGTGAGCGATACAGTTCATCGCCGGAGTGTCGTTACGTTTAACGTCGCGCTCTGCGTTTACTCTTAATTCTCTCTATCTTTTGTATAATTTTGTTTTTTTATGCCTTTCTTTTCTTTTTTCTTTTGTTCAACTGCTGTAACCACTGTTCGGCTTTGAATGGCTGACGGAGAATCGCAGAGATCGTGTTAGCGTATCGTTGAGTATACTTATATTTTTCTTTTCTGTTCCACTTCGTCTACAACGCGGTCAGCATGTGGCGTATGTTGAAAATAACAATATATATATTTATTTTGTTGTTTTAATTTTTTTCTTCGCTTTACTGTCACTCCCACGATCCTGATCTCCCCTTCGACCGTCGCGTGTTATTCCATCTTGGACGAATGTTTTAACGATCTTTTAAAGTGTATCATCTCAACTTTGACGAAGTAACATGTCGCTAAAAATATTTTCCTGTCCAAGAAGAAGATGATCGGAAGCGTCGCTTTTTTATCGTGTATTTGTCACTTTTATACCTCGTACATGTTTTTTCTATATAAATCGGCAAGAGACTCGCGTTATTTATAGAGCATGAACAAACGTGAACGTTCGTTACGTTTGTTTTCGGAAAATTATTTCGACCTGCGAAACAAGCCACAGTTCACTGTCTTTAATTTATTGTCAATTGATGTACCACTAATTTATTGGGAATGTATTTGATTTTGGCTACACGCACGTCATGCGCCTGTGTCGACGTTTAGAGAGCGGCATTACCTCGAGTTGTGATTCAATCTGAATCTGACACATTACCAATCACTTCTATATCGAAGACTTGATATGAGAAAGCCTGTAAGAATGTTATATTTTCGGAAAATTATTTTCCGTTGATGAGAGAATATTACGTGTCAAGGCGCACCGATAGCATCGCGAAAAGCCGTAGATGTGGACGAAAACGTTCGCGAAATGCGAACGCAGAGAAAACGCGTGTATAGATAATTTCTTGTAAATAAACCAAATAAAAGATTTCTAAATCCAATTTTCCTCAAGATCTCTCTCTCTCTCTCTCTCTCTCTTTCTCTCTCTCTCTCTCTCTCTCTCTCTCTCTCTCTCTCTCTCTGTTTTTCCGGATAATCTTTTTTGTGTCAAGCCTTCGATTATACAAATGTACACATACAATCGCGATCTTTGTTTCGGCGGTCATATTAGATAGTACAAGTTGTACAGAGAGAAACCGTACACATCCGCAACAATCACTCGACGAACTAGCATATAGGCTTTGTACATAGACCATAGTTTATAAGGATATTTTTTGTACTCAGCGAAATTTCGAGTGACAGGTTATTGTGCCGTTTCTTTCGTACTGTCGATTCGCACTGCGACGGCTCTACGAGCAAAAATAACGTGTGTTCACAGTGGCGCAAAGATCGATGCCCGGACCCGCTTAACAAACTCATTAGATTCACAATGACACGTCAATATTAACACGTCAATTGTAGTCGCGAGGATTCACGCCACGCGCGAAATTACCCGGTATCTCTTTTTAGGCACACGTGCCCTTTGCTAGTCACTCACGACGAGTCACGACTACATACATGTATAGAAAGACTTTGAGTATAAAAAAAAATAAAAGCACTGCCTTCTGAATGGTAATAAGATATTGACATACACTCTCTATCTCTCTTTCTCTCTCTTTCGGGTTTTTGTGAGTCGACATATAACTAGGAGTGTGAAATAAATAAAAAAATTTTATTTATGTCTCTTGAAGTAGATTTTCTCTTAACATCATCTCGTTTGGAAAGAGGAGATGATGCTTCAAAAGAATACTTTGGTTAAATACCGTCAATCGGTCGATCGACCGATCAATGTCAAATTAATTAGGAAATTGAAAGAGCTACAAGAATTTCGAGGCGTTGTGAGCAAAAAATAGTTTCAAGGAAAATGACGGTATTTTTCTTCGATTTTGGCATCTCTCTTCAACGAGAGAATTTTAAGCGCCTATCGGTGCATCGAGTGGGACGAGCTAATGAAGACTGCCGAGATGTGGTCGCGTCAGAGAAATGCTGTCGTTTGTTACTCTTATCATGTAAATACCAGTCATAATGTTGCGTGTTTAACTTGTAGAGACGAGTCCATGTAACTACTGTAAATAGCAACGTTTAACGGACCACAATGCGCGTTCCCGCCGCCAACGGAACTCCGCCACTGTGTACACGCATCAGCGATTATTCCAGTGGGTGCATGGAAGTGTACGGAATAGTGCTAGAGGTCTACGCATAGTCTACGTGTAGAATATCTGAAGCGTCACTTACGCAAATTACGGCCCGTATTCATACCACATTTAGCGCTAAATGCGGCCACACAATTCTCCGCTCTCGTAATAACATCAAATGCGGTGTTCGGATTAAACAAATAAAACTCGGGGTCAGATTGCCGCATTTAACGATGGTAAACCCAACGGTTATCTAATGCAGCGGTAAAGTGGCAATTTAAACTCATGTTTCGTCCAAAAGTATATTCTCGTACTCTAAAATGAGACTTGGAGCGAGAGGAAAATATTACGAGGAAATGTACTTCGACATTAAGTCCACGTTCTGTGGCTAAATTAATTTTCTCTGCACGTAGAACAGCTTTTGTGCGTAACAATTTCCTTTACCAACGGTACTTTTTGAAAAATACGAGCGGGTTGCTTTGTGCAGTACACGTATCTCGTGTATTCCACACGTAGACTATTCACGTTGACGCGTGGATATTCAACACTGGCATGTGAAAGAATAAACATTGAACTATGCATGTGCTGTAGAGAAAAGAATTATGAAGTTTAACGCGCTAAATGTTTTTTTCTTTATCCCGAAGTGTATCTTTGAGACGTTTTTAGATCTCGCGAATCGCGCTCGTCGACGGAGAGGAAATGCGACGACTCGACAGGATTCATTGTCGACCGATTGCTAATTATACGCGCGTCCATCATACGCGCGCATAATGAATTCGTACCTAATTATAGGCGTTTAAAGAATTATATTTAGCCAACATACAACGCGTGCGCCTACACTTAAAAAATTCCCGGCCGACTGAGATCAAGGTTAATAATCATCATCTTTGAAATATGCTGTGCATCGCTCTTGATGTTCGATCTCAATAATTGAGATTCTTTCTAGACTGCGAATACACCAAATGGACAACAATTATAAAAAGATAACGCGAATGAAGTAAATTGTAAAGATAAAATGTCATCATTGCGAACGAATTATAACATTCGAAACAATCGACTGAAGAGTTTTTTGCGTTTTCAAATTTTCGTATTTTCGTGCGTGTGAATTCGGCAAATTACTTTTACTTGTAATGGAATAAAAAAGTTAGTTGGTTCCTCGTGGTATCAAGATAAATGTTAAGTTTGCCGGAATTTAACGTATTGAATATACTTCTCGCACTTTGCAATTTCGGCTGTGTCGAACGTCATCGAACAGCACGATTCTTTCGATAGGTCGGCAAAAACTCGCCTAAACAGTGCAGCCTAATTGAGAAAGTTACTTTCTAATATTGCGAATGTAAATGTGTAATCCTGATCGGATAAGAGCAAGTTCTTGCATGCGCGTGCAATTTTCTTTCCGTTTCAAGGCACTTATTCTCACTGCGAGTTCGTTGAGAACACAAGATCGGTAAACCGAGTTTCTAGATTAGCTTAATTTTGCTGACACGGGTGATAATAAGAAAAAATTTGCACACACGTAATACGTCTCTGACAGCGTCGGATTTATGGCCTCTCATGCATCCTACATGCTCGATGTAACTTAAATTTTAAATGTATATATCGTGGTTTGTATGTGATATCGATGGTTCAAACCCGAGTTTACTCTCTTCGCGCGTTAAAAACTTTAACTATCGGAACGTTCATTTAAATTTTCCCGATTTCAGTTTCGCAACTTGTTGTTCACTTAAACTGTACCGCACTTTGTGAATCCGTAAATCCGTCGCTGGACTTTAATAGAAGTAGCGTCGCTCGTATGCGATTGAGGGAGAGATGAACGAGCTAGGATATTTAGAATGCCAGCCAAACAAGTCGCGAGGTATGAGAAGGGAGAGATATCTTCGATATACCGTCTCGGTGTCCTGCAGAGTTCTGTGTAATCGTTTGTAACGGCGGTGACGATCGCGCACGATCGAGCAACTCGCATCGACATAGTAATTAAACACGACTTCTAGGATAGCGTAACGTTTATCGGACAAGCTACGAGTCACAGTGTTTAAGTATATAATAGCAATCTTTTAGATTTTATATATCGCGTGTGTGAGAATATGCAAAGAGAAGTGCGCGTGCAAAAGCGAAGTGTGCGTGTGTTAAATGTGAGCGCGCGCGTCGCAAGATTTAGGCTCGGCAGGTTAATAAATCGTATTTTCGAAATAAACATCGTTCTTGAAATATTTACTCACTCATCCTCAATGTTGCTTTTCTGCGGATCCTCTCTGCATCCCTGTCTCTAGATTCCTGTAGACGTTTTCTCCCTCTTCCTCCTCCCTCTTTCTCTCTCTCTATCTCTCTCTCTCTCTCTCTCTCTCTCTCTCTCTCTCTCTGTTTTTGAGGACGTGAAGACGTGAAAAAGCGAGATCGCCCAAGAGAATTGTAGCGTCACGTCGCAAGATTCCTTTGTAAATCTAAAATTTGAAAAGTTTTGTTAAAATGTTATAATTATACGTTTATGTTGAACATATTGCATTTTTCGTATTTTTTTATATATATTCAATGTTAGTTTTTGCTTGTTAGAATTTATATTCAACAGTAATAAGATATGCTATGAAAGACCTGAGTGAAATATTTTTATCATTTTCACGGATTGTCGAATACTGATATATTACTGATATTTTTTACGATACGATATAAATATCTGAACAGTTGATATTTTATCTCTTACAGTTTTAACTGCATCGGTACTTACCGACTTTTCCGTCCATCAGGGGACGACATGCCCCGTAACCCGTAACGATTCGAATTCCAAAATGTCCGACGCTCGCACGAAACTTACGGCATTGCCGACGATAAAACGCGATGCGGTTTGAATTCCGGATTTCTGTAACAGAACGAACGCGCGATACTTTCTTGATATTTTCCACATGTCATTTCGTGGAATATTCACTTTCGACAAATGTTTAACGATATTTTACAAGAGAAGCACGAAACTTATTTTCGACGTTCTCGGCGAAAATTCACGAAAAAGTTTTAATATCAATCGTCATAACGAGACGAACGAACTTCTTTGGCATTCCAACAGGTTGTTCCGCGAAATATTCTCTTTTTTTACGACTGTTGAACGATAACTGACGATAAATGAGCGGAACGTGCTATGACAATCCGCGTATAAGATTCATCTTTGATTACGAAAATGTGAATGAAAATACTACGAACTTCGAACCGCCATAACGCAACAGTCGTCCGATACGCGTTTTTTAGCGTTCTCAGCAAATAGTCTTGCGAGATATTCATTTTCGGTAACTATTTGACGATACTTAATAACATATGCACAAATCCTAGTCAAGTATTCTTAATAACGACAATTCCAATATAAAACTTACTTTCGGTGGAGTGACGTCGCGAAAAATGCGGAGCGTCTTTCGAGCATGTCCTGTCCATTCTTGCTCATTCCTGCAAATGATCGTGTGATTGTGGTGATTGCGATTATCGAAGTGTGAAGCGCGCCAACTTCACTCGGTATGCTCGACTAACCGTTTCGCGACATAACCATTGCAAACGATTATTTAATGATATCTTATCACGACAAACGCACGAAACTAATTTTCGGCATCGCCAGCGACTATTCGAGCCCGAAATACAGTTTCTCAGAGAATCAAAGGAATAAATATACTATACTCTAAATCCCTAACGGTCATTATATACGACTAACGGATGGCACTTTGCTTTACACGACTGACGACTCGTTTCGCGAGCAGGCTCTCAAGATCCATTTTCGTTTATTGCTTAATAATATCTCAAGATTTACCTTCGGCGCTCCTAATAACGATAATTTACCTGAGATTTATCTGCAGCCAGTTGAATTCGCAGGAGACACGAAACAACTTGTCGCGATCAAGCTGTCGTGTCGTCCACTTCGTTCTTACAGTTGATCACAGATGTCGCGACGGTTGCAATTTTCTTTACGCTCGATGCAATGCAATCAATATATTCATTTTGTCGCTATAACTCAGTTATTTAATAAAAATCTCGCGGTTCTACAAATACATCAAATAGTCGAGATCATTTTAAATATATAACACGTTAAGATAAACGATATTATTAATCGAAGTCAAAATCACTAGCAAAAATCCATCAGTGACAAAAGTGACGTCACGCGATTATTTCTATTCGCAATAATTTGCGAAGTTTCGTGTCGCTTCAAACTAGTGGCCGCGTTCAGTAGAAAAAGCTGCTTACTAAGCGCTTAGTGATTATTAATTATGATTGGAGTATTGTTTTAGATCTTTAACAAATCCAGAGGAATAAACCAATCAGAAACGACAATCACTAAGCGCTTAGTAAACAGCTTAGTAAACAGCTTTTTTTATTCCAATGCGGCCAATGTCGCGATTGCTTCATGTTTATTGCATCTTTTTGTATATTGAAGGCGAAATCGCGCGAACAAGTAATGGGAGTGTCGAATTTTTAAATGACTGACGATCGTTTTAGCATAACGGCACCATAGATATGGTATACTAGACTGCGCGTTCTTCCAAATTTCAAGAGTGGGGGTAAAGCTCGCGTAGAAAAAGATGTTCTATATTTTATGTCTGCATTTCTCTCGTACACGCGATAGAAAGAGAATAAGGGGAGGCAGTTGCTATAGACATAGTATATCGCAAATGCCTTCCCTTTTCCCCTTTTCTCGCGTATGCGAGAGAGAACGCACGGATACAAAACAGAGTGCATCCTTTTCTACGTGAGCTCTACCTCCTCTTCTTCTCGAACATGCAGGCCAGATATACTGTCTATGGTCAGTCCAGTCGAATACGATGGAATTCGATGTTTGATATTCGTAAACGGTATTCATCGCGTCGCATCGGCACATGGAATCATAAAATGAAACAAGAACTTTTTGTTCGACGAAACTATAGTACTACGGTGCTTACATCATATCTTCATGCTTCGGTAAATGTCTGCCATTTATTCGAACCAAAAAATACAATATTACATCAAATTCATTATTACGAGATACTATCAAAGAACATCGACCTTGGTTAAAATATTCTGCTTACACAATTGCTGTCCGGAGAATATTAGAAAGTGTTGACGTTATCGGTTGTTTCAATTGTTTGATAGAAATATCTAGAGATTTAAATATCTAGATTTAAAATAAATCATACAATCGAAGATCATTATAGAAAACAGCATCCGTAAAATCTATTCTTATATATAAGATAATTCTATGTTTATCTGAAGATGCTATACGGACCGTCTCATTGGCTACGAAGCATCTGCAGACAGACTAAGGACAATCTTAAATAGAAAATTCGACTGTGAATAACGATCAACAATTAATAGTCATCGAAACATCAGCAGCCATGCAAATTCTCTGCTGCAACTCGCAAACACTAAAACCGTATCAGTCTTTAATAATATGTTGCCGATATCTAATCGCTCGACATTTAAATTTCGTGTGATGTTCGTTAGCCAGGCTCAGGCATGCGCGCACAATGTGAACGTACTTTAACGCGACAGGCCGCCGACAGAGTGCGCCACGTCGGAATTCAGGGCGGTTTTCGACGACAGTCAGTCTTAGCGACGACGTTCGGTAGGCAGTTAGGTAGGCAGTCGGTGGTTACAAGAGCGACATGTTGGAGATCCGTGTGATTGTGCGCGTGGCGGGCGATCTCTAACGCGCGGTCTCGTGCGTTTTGCGGTGCGGTGCGGTGCGTGTACGATCACGACGGTGCGGCCGGCTGTGCGAGTGAAGAAACGCACGTCGCATTACATGTGAAGTGTCTCGGGGATACATTCGTCATCGCGCCTGCTGGTTTACCCGGCCCAGCAAACATGAGCTGGGGCACGGAGCTCTGGGTAAGTCTCGCTTGTTCACTCCCCCCCTCTCTCTCTTTCTCTCTCCCTCTCTCCCTCTCCTCTCTCTCTCTCTCTCTCTTTCTCGATCTTCTATCTTTCTTTCTCTTGCTCCCGTCGTCGCGGCGGTCGCGTACGTTCGTCCTTGTCGCGCCTCTGACCCTCCTTCCCGCGTTGCTCCGCGCCGCAGGCGCTCCGTCGGACTCGTCCGTCGCGATTCGCTTCCACCTTGCAAAACCGGAGAACCACTCCGAAAACACATCTGTTGTCTTTCTTAGCCGCGAAGCGCATCTCCGTGCGAGCGTGTACACGTCACGTAGTCGCGGCCGCGGTCGCGGTCGCGCATTTCAACCCGTTAAATGCACCCGTCCGTCCGTTTATTCGCTCGCTCGCTCTCTTGCTCGCTCACTTGTTCACTCGATCATCCGTCCATCTGCCATTCCTCATGTTTACACCGAACGTCGTATTCACGTTCCGCCGCGACGAGCAAACGCAATTCATGATCGAACGACGATGCGAAATTCTTACATCGCGCGTCGTCTTTCGTCGCCGGAAATCTCGTCCACGCCTCGTATCGCACCTTTCGGAGTTTTAGGTTTCAGGCAAGAAAGTCGCAAGGAGATATTTCTAAATGCTGACGGGACAAATATGTTCTTTATTAGAAATATCTTAGGCTCTTCCCAGTCTAGCAATCCGGAGTCTACCTGAGCAATCCGAGTTTCTCAGGTTTTTGTATTGTGTGCGGAAACCTTCGTCCTGAACGCAGCTACGTTCAGGTAGCTGACCGTAGCCGTGTCCCGTGTGACGTTTCCCGAGCCGCATACCTCTCTCGACTCGTCGAGAGCCCGTTCACGCTGCGCCGATGGCCGCTCGCTCACTCGTTCGTTCGTTCGTTCGTTCGTTCGTTCGTTCGTTCGTTCGTTCGCTCCATTCATTCTCTCACGAAATTCCCTTCTCGTTCTGCGCCACGCATAAACAATATTATTGTTTGCGCATATTTTTGCCCTTAGCACGAAAATGTCTGTGTGTGTGTGTGTATACGATTTCTACGTTGAGAATCGTGCAAAATCGTAGCGACTCCTTGTCGGATGTTAATGACATGTTTCTGTACTTATGTTAGCAGAGAGTTTTCTCTCGTCGGGGAAATCTTGAGAAAACGTCGACCCTCCCTTTGTTCCTCATGATTTCGGCTCTGTATCGCTTTATGATATTTATATTATATTTATATATATTATATTTATGATGAACACTGATACTGATATTTGAGTTGTTCCTAATGGCTGTGCTGGGTTAGACATTTCTTCGATAGTGTGTTATCCAGTTGAAAGACCCGGAAGAGCTCATGTTAAATGTAGATAGTATGATAGTATGTCTATGCGTAAAACAATTCAAAACTTAAATCTAGTCGTTAGATTTATTGGCATTATTTTCTTTCGAAATTATTTAGCGCTATTCATTCGTTTTTAAGGAATATAAAGTTGGAATTTTTTTATTATTAAGTTTCGAAGTTGTATTTTATTTCTCATCCGCAGAAATATCCTCCGTAATACAGTCTACATAGCGATCACGTACTTTGACAGTTCTGGCAACACAGTTTGATTGCGCCATTATTTGCTTTTGACTAAGAATTTCTTATCATTTTTTTTTTTTTTTTTGGTGAATATTCGCGGTTGTAGTGTGATGATCTTAAGGATTCGCAGTCGATTGGCTTCACGTGTTGACTAGTTTTCAAATTCAACGGATTCCGAAATCCGGAAATACAACTATTATAGCCAACAAGTTTGATTAATACTTCTTTCTGACGTATTTGTTGCGGATACTCAGAAGTAACCTCGGTGAGTGTGTTATGTTCATCAAGAATTACGGCACAATGACCGTGCGATTGCAACTTTTTTTCGACAAATATTACTCCTTTATCAGTACACTTTCTCCGAAGAATACAATTACTATCTTCTTGTATCAAACTGTCAATAAACGCTTCATCTATCTATCCTTCTACACACCTACCTATCTATTAAAGTCTTCGTTTTACCTCAAGCTATCCCGACATAATTTCATGACCATACAATTTTTTGCAACTTTTTTCGGTAAATATCTTCCCTCTATTCTGCATCTTCCTTAGAATGTATATTTAACCATCCGTTTGCATCAAACTGCCATTAAATGCTTCATCTATCTGTCTGTCAAATCATTCGATTCCTCTCGTGATCTTCGTGACTATACAATTATAGCCTTTTGGTAAGTGCCTTTTCAAGGAATGTAACATACTTCCTGCACATACTGAATGAATATTTCATTTCTATATCTGTCAAATCACGAAATAAAATTTATGAAGATTAAAAAGTCTCAGTATAACTTTATTTCTTGTATCATACATCATGTAGTTTCTGTTGCATCTTTTTCCATTGGTAAGGAAAGATTCTCCGGTACCTGTTAGAAAATCAAATATTCGTCATGCTTTTGCCACAATCAGTCGCAATCGTGATATTTACCGGCAAACGTTGCTTCTCCTCTCGCATATCTTCCGCGGAGTTTACACACTTTCGGCGGTAGAATTTTTTCCTCCACTCGCAAAGTTACCTGCGAGTCACCGTCGCCACTGCCATCATCTTCGTCGTCGTCGTCGTCGTCGTCGTCGTCGTCGTCGTTGTCGTCGTCATCGTCATCGTCGTCGTCGTCGTCTTCGTCTTCGTCTTCGTCGTCGTCATTGTCGTTGTCGTTGTTTTCGTCGACGACATGTAACCACGATATCCCCGAAAACCAGTTCGCTCGGCACTCGCCAGGAGTTTTGCCTTTTCGGTTGCTAGCCGCGGGCGACGTTCCTCGTGTCGTCTCCCCGCGGTTAGTCCCCTCCTCCTCTCGTCGCGCTTCTTGTGCACCTTTCCTGCCCCCTCATACAACCTCGCCCTTCCCTCGCACCTTGCCCATGGAGCATACGTTCTTTTGCTTCCTTTCTCGTGAAATCTTCGACGGCCACGACGACGACGACAATGTCGGCGGCCGATTCGCGGTCGATTCGCGTCTTTCTTACACCTTTGGAAAATTTTACATTAGAAAAAGAAAAATAGCAAAATGATGACTAATACTCTATTAAATTGATGAGTATATAGGACATGAGAGACAAGATGGAAACCACGGGATCGCGAACATGCAGCACTAACAGATCATAGTCATCAGATAATCTTCCGAGAAGATTCTTACGCGTATTCGTGCGTGCGCACAAAATTGATTCACTCTTTGCTCGCCAATGACATCTCTGAGAGCCTTCGGTCTTTCTATTAATAATTCATTCGCGCATTCCGCGCCATGATTTTCGTCACTTATTCCCGTTAGCCTACTCGATCGACCTGCCTGACTCAAGAAAGAAAGAGATCGCGTGTCGCATATCGAATTGCTATTCAGACAGAAATCAATGCAAATATGTCGTTCAAATTGTCCTAACGAGATATTTCCAAGCAATTTCCATTTAAGAAAGGCCTGCCTTCTCTCCTCCGAAGGGAGAGAAGGCAGGCTCTCTATCCCTCTTCTCTCGGTGCGAAGAATACGACGACGCGTGGCACGCCCGTCTTCTTGCGCGCGTGCATGTATTCGCGAGCTAATACCAGCTAACAGTTAAGCACGCACGCGGCCTGTATCGTGATTCACGGGAAAGTGTGTACGACACGTCAATGAATCGTGATACACGCGACACGTATTTCGGATCACGATCAGTCGCGAGCGCACCGATAACGGAGATCGCTCCCCGTTAATCGTACCTCCGCATAATCGTTACAATGCCAGTGATAATCACTTCGATACAAGACATTCGCTGCTTACTCGTCGCTACTACGCAGCGAGAATATACCACTCGAGATTTAAGAAAGGCGTAAGGTGTGTAAAGAACGTCCAATTATTTTCGCGGAAACGTCGCGAGACGTGCCTCTCGATCGAACGACGAAATGCCCGCTTTCTCACCTGCTTATCGTAGGAGAGAGAGAACACTTTCTCCGAAAGTGGCCAAAATAATGATCGGTCGATCGGTCGATCACGAGCGTGTACGATTGCTCCGATTCACCTCGCCGTATCGGCGAGGGCCAACACTGACCCTGACGTATTAATTCGGTCCCCCAACGCACCGCACAATCGATAGAGTGCGCGAAGGCGGTGGGAGGAACGAAGATATAATCGCGGCTGCTTACGTCATCGCGTACTGTATCACGATTCGGAAATGACGCCGGCGATTCCCGATTTCGCGTCGGAGAAAGTAAACGCGCCGTTCGGCTCGTAACCTTCGCAGCTTTTCCCTCCTACGCTCGTTTTGCTTCCATTCGCCGCGACGTGCGTAATAATAATCCGCGTAGGTGAACCGGAAGAGAGCGCGCGGCGGCACGTCGGCAACGGCGACGACGAAGCGGGAGCGGCTTTCGAAGCCGATCGGTATCGCGACGCGCTATTTTCCCTTTTCAAGAGCGCGAATGAGCGATATGAGAGGAAGACTATCCCCCCCATCCCATGGTGGGGCCCCATTGAAACCTAATCTCTCCGTCGCTTATTTTCTATCATCGGTATTATCGCCTTTGTACATAGAATATATCTTTGTTACAGCCGCACCCCCTGTGTATTATTATCATTGTTATCTGCGATATCTGCGATATCGATACAAAACATATGCGTGTTATGTGCCTGTATTTTTTAACTTTATGCCTATAATTATGCCGTTTAGAAAGATCGGTTTTCACTCCTGACATTTATCACAAATCGATACTTTCTCCAAAAGTTCCGGTACTCGATTAAAGTATCGCCGAGTGCGAGTGCGTTTTTAGCTGGAAATTCGTGTTGCTCGTCGTAAGGAGAGATTGCATTGGTCGTTCTTACCGGCGTAGTATTAACAATCGCCGCTAATTATCCGACTTTTCCGACGTTTCTCCGTCTTTTTGCCAAGTAAAACGGAGAGACATCCGGAAGTGAGACACTTGAGGCACGTCTTGGGAATGTCAAATCGTGAAATCACCGTCGCGCGGCGG